CCAAGCAGGTGTGTCTCGTGGGCTTCCTGTTTTGGCTCTCAAGTCCTGCTACTATTTTCTGTACAGCACCAAATAAGGAGGCTTGGGTACTTTCACTTTTGTTCTTCATCCCCAGCATTATACTCCTAGCGCCAGCTTTCAAAAAGCTTGGCCCAGCAGTGTTGTGGTGCAGTGGGTTAAGCAGCTGCTTACAATACCAGCATGCTATATAAATGCTGGTTCAAGTCACTGTTAATGTGCCTGGGAAAGCAGTGAATCCATCCATGTAGGAGACCAGGATGGAGTTCCAGGTTCTTGGCTTTGGCATGGCCCAGCCTTAGCCATTACATCCATCTGGGGAGTGAACTAGTGGACAGAAGATCTCTCTCTCTCTCTCTCTTTCTCTCTCTTTCCCTCCCTCTTCCTCTCTCTATAACTGTGCTTCAAAATAAATAAAATGAATCTTCAAAAAAAAAAAAAAAAAAACAAAAACCTTGGTCCCCAATTACTTGCCATCAGTCATTCCCCAGACCCTGGATGCAGAGAACATGTGCTTGTATTTCAATTTCTTCATGGATGTTAACCTAATGAACTTATGTGTGTACACACCCCACTCCAACCCTCTCGCCCTCAGCAACATTTAGATACTCCTGGATGCTATCACCAGTTTGTACTCTGTGTAGTCTCACAGCCTATGTCAGCTAATGCTACTTCCCATATACCTTTGGCCCCATTATACATTGAATAAAATACCATTGCTAATCCTGAATAAAACTGACACTTATTTAAAAGGTTTCCAAAGTTATAGCCTACTCCTGTATGCCAAGATGGTGAGAAAAATCTATATCTCTTACATAGCCAAGATAAGTGAAAGTCAGAAGAATTTGGCACTTTCATATGCTATGGTGGGAAAACAGACTGGTACAATAATTTCAGGGGACAATTTCATAGTATCTATATACTTTTAAGCACTCATTAATGAATTGATCCCACTTTTAGAAATTTATGCCATCAACACCTGCATACAGGGCTAGTGTTTTGGTGCAGTGTGTAAAGCCACTGCCTGCGACACTGGCATCCTGGATGGGCGCTGGTTCCAGTCCCAACTGCTCCACTTCCCACCCAGCTTCCTGCTAATGGCCTGCGAAAAGCAGCAGAAGATGGTTCAAGTCCTTGGGCCCCTGCCACCCATGTGGAAGACCTGGATGAAGCTTCTCACTCCTAGCTATGGGGAAACTTCAAAAAGTTCATAGAGAATGGAATGAAAAGATAATGGTGCATTGTCCATGAATTTCTTGAAGTACCATCATATGTGTGCTCATTGCATGCTTTCAAGCTTGGCTCCATGGCTTTTGGGTCCATGGTAAATGGAAATAAGAAAGCAGACCCCAGAGCCTACTTCTGTCAGTGGACTCTTCTATTTATCTTCTATGTACACTAGTCTGTGAAGCTAGTATTATCACCTGATGAGTAGTTTTAAGTAATAGAGAAAACATCAACAGTTGATCAGCTGATAGAAGAGTCCTGCAGGCAGAAACCAAAACCTTCTCATGTCTTCTGTGTTTGAGACATAGTTTGAATGTTAGTTTCCCAGTGACAAAAACAATGTATTGCCTAGGATGTTAAACTCATTTCCTTGCTTTTGTTGAGATTCATCATGACTATATTCTATTTGTTCTAATATAATTTAATAAATTCACTCAAAAATTAATTGAAGGAAAAGAAAAAAAGAATTTAGCTTTTATCTGAAAGACTGAAGTAAAAAGTAAAAGATTAGAAGCAGGGCTAGAGTTGTGACACAGCAGGTTAAGCTGCTGCCTGCGATGCCAGCATCCCATATGAGCATGGTTTCAAGTCCCAGTTGCTCACTTCCAATCCAGCTCCCTGTTAATAGCCTGGTAAGAGCAGTGGAAGATGGCCCAAATGTGTGGGTCCCTGACACCCATGTGAAACACCTGAATGGAGTTCCAGGGTCCCGGCTTCAGTCTGGCTCAGCCCTGGCTGTTGTGGCCACTTGGAGGATGAACAAGCAGATGGAATCTCTTTCTCTGTGTGTGTGTGTGTGACTCTGCCTCTCAAATAAATTTTAAAAATCTTTTAAAAAAAGATTAGCGGGTCCAGTGCAGCATAGGGTGCATAGTTGTTTTAAAGTATGCTCCCAAATTCTTTGATATTCTTTCCCTTCAGAGGGGGAACTTTATTTTCTTCCCCTGGAGTATGGGTTGGACTTAATAACTCTCTTTTAATTACAGAACATGGCAGAAGTGATGGTGTGTGACTTGAAAGCACTGCAGCATGTTCCTTTCTGCCTTTCTCTTAGGATCATTTTTTTTTTGGTGGGGGGAGGGGAGTAGGGGAAGCCTGCTGCACTGTCATGAAGACACACAAGTAGACCATGGAAAAGTTCCCTTAGCAAGGAATTAAAGCTTCCTGCCGGCTACTGCTGACATCTTGATAGCAACTACAAGAGAGACCCTTGAGCCAGAAACATCCTGAAGTTCCAAATTCTTCACTCTCAGAAATAATAAATGCTCTTTCCTTTAAACTGTTAGGTTTGGGGCCAGAGCTGTGATGTAATGGGTAAAGCCGCTGCCTTCAGTGCCAGCATCCCATATGGGTGCTGGTTCGAGTCCTGGCTGCTCCATTTGCTATCCAGCTCTCTGCCTATGGCCTGGGAAAGCACTAGAAGATGGCCCAAGTCCTTGGGCCCTTGCACTGGAGTGGGAGACCCAGAAGAAGCTCCTGGCTCCTGGCTTCAGATTGGCGCAGCTCCAGCCTTTGCAGTCAATTGGGGAGTGACCAAGCCCATGGAAGACACACACACACACACACACACACACACTCACTCACTCTCTCTCTCTCTGCCTCTCTTTCTCTCTCTGTGTAACTCTTTCAAGTAAATAAGTAAATCTTTAAAAAAAATAAGCAATTAAATTTTAGGGGTAATTTATTATGCAATTCACTACAAAGGAAAAAAGTAATTGCTGGTTAACAAAGAAATTATTTCATTGATGATCACCCCCCATCCTATGCTCAGGAATGAATTTATTGAGCTTCATTAACAAAAATTACATAATAAAGTCTCCATTGCACCAAGAAATATCATCACTCTAGTCATGAATTAGATATTACCAGATGATAAATCCTTTGATGCTATAATCTGCATACATTTAAGTTACAAGTATATGCTGATGTTTTACAGATAGCATTTGTCACCTCTAAATTTTACTTTTAATTTATACTTCACATGTCTTTCATCATCAAAAAGATACAATCTGATATTTCACATACACGCCAAGTGAAATCTCATCAACTGAAATGAAAGACCCAAAGCTTTGACAATGCAAACTGTGTGCCAATTTTACTGCTCTAATATTGAACTCCACGTTTTCAAAGATAAGCATGCTATATTTTATATTTTTAAGATCAGTGCCCCATTGCCTTGTTTCTTTCTCACAGCAGACATTCTTATATTATTGGATACTTCTAGTATCTGGAGTATCTGGCTTGAATTTGAATGGGGGACTTTTTTATACTATGATTTCCTCAGATCACTTTGTAGTTTTCACTTCCTGTTTGCAATGAATTTGTGCATGTTTTCAATTAGGTTAAATGAATATAATTTAATAAAAAAAATAAGGGGCTGGCGCTGTGGCATAGCGGGTAAAGCTGCTGCCTCCAGCTGCTCCACTTCTGATCCAGCTCTCTCCTATGGCCTGAGAAGGCAGTAAACGATGGTGCAAGTTCCTAGGCCCCTGTACTTGCGTGGGAGACCTGGAAGAAGCTCCAGGCTCCTGGTTTCAGATCGGCGCAGCTCCGGCCATTGCAGCCATTTCGGGAGTGAACCAGCAGATGGAAGACCTACCTACCTACCTACCTACCTACCTACCTATCTATCTCTTTCTCTCTCTCTCTCTCTCTCACTGCCTCTGCCTTTCTGTAACTCTGCCTTTCAAATAAAAAATCTTTAAAAAATATATGAGAGTATTTCATTGAAATAGAATTAAAAGATGCTTATTTTATGGCAAACTTTTTTTTTGAAATCCATGAAGAACCATGAACTTTTCTGTCCTGAGTGCAACAGAATCCCCTAGGTTAGGCACAGAGCTTAGTTCTTCTTCAGTACACAGAAGTTTGGTTGGATACACAACAGAAAGGAGTGGAAGCAGCATGAACAGCTGCAAAGCCCTGGCATTGTGCTTGTTATGGGTACAGCAGACACTTTTACTTTGTAACGTGTACTGTTCTCTGTGTATTTCTATTCTGTTCTCTGTGTACTTCTCTTCTGTGGTCTCAGCATTATACAGTCTCTTGATTGTGCCAATAGTTGAAGCTCTGCCTGCGGAACTCAGGGGAACGATTTCTGCCCAGACTTGGGCAAAAGTCTGAATGAGGGCAAGGGGAGGGCTAGGAGGGGGAGCACTGGTGAAAATGTAGGAAAGCCTCAAAGGGAAGTGAAATGCAGGGCCAACAGGGTTATGTGGTCCAAGTGGTCCAGGAGACCAGCATCTGGATGCTCACATGATCCTGAGTGCCCGGTCTGCTGGCTACCACTTCTACCTTTCAGTTCAATGAGATGCATGTTCCTTTACACTGTGGGAAGGGATGGATCTCTCCTGAAAGATCTGAAGAGTGAGGTTTGCATGAGTTCCTATGTTATAAAAGCAACTGAGGAAGACACAAATGTGACCACTGGACTCACAATAACACAGATCCCACTGACTGAGTAGAGAAACTCATCCTTATCCAGACTGGGCTTCTTACTCCCAGGGTTTTGCTGCATAACTTCTTGATTGAAAGCCTCCTGCACAAGGTCATTAGTTTAAAGTCTTCCTGATCCCATTCCATGCAGAGCCCTGTGTTGTCTGCTGTTCCCAGAGGGAGATTTCTTTTTCTCACTCTGTATCTCAGCATTCCATTTGCATTGGGACATCACTGTTTCTAACACAAACCTCAACCCTTGGTATTTCTTGAGTTCTCAAAACAGAAACGAAAGAAGTGAGAGGAAACTTTTGCCTTACCAGGGTCCAGAAAGGGCTGGCATTCTCCAGCAGCACCATAATTCAGCTCCTGAGGTCCTGCCTGTGGGATCCAGGGCTCTGCCACAGAGGCCTCCTGGACAGGTGCCATTACCTGGAGCTCAGGTGACTCCAGGTGCACATTTGGTGGCATATGTTCCATTCCCACTGGTGTCAGTTCTTCCAAAAGCATGTCATGCATGTCCACCTGTGAGACATGAATCCATCACTCCACAGTTTAGAGCAACTTGTTCTAGTAGAACTTTAATGAGAGCCATACATGTTGTTATAAATTCTCCAGTTGTCATATGAGTACAATTTAAAGAATAGACAAGGTCTATCTTAACAGTGTGTTTTACCTAATCCAATGAAAAGTATCAAGATTTCAGCATGTAATCAACATAAACAATTATGAGTGAGATATTTTACCCACTATTTTTTCTTCCTTACTAACTCTTATGCATGTGCTGTGTGTTTGACAGTCACAGCAGATCTCAATTTGTTCTGGCCACATTTCAGCTGCTTCAGAACCATGCATGACTAGTGGCTTCTACAGTGGGCACTGCATGTCTAGCCCATATGAAGAGAAAAAACTTCTACCAAAAGCAAAACTAGGAAAACAGAAAGAAGCCTTCAATTCCATGCTATCCAAGACTCCCTTTCAGGTTGGCTGCCTGCATTAAAGGTAACAGCTCTTACAGAGCCCCTATTCTCCAAAAGACCAGAGCACCCCTGTAGCCCAGTTGGAACAGCCTGTTCCCTTTTCCAACAGTTGTAGGCCTTTCTACAGCCTGGGCCTATGAAACTGGAGGTTTTGAACACAGGGCAGTGCTTCCAGCTCCATGGGGACACTGCAGATACACTGGCAGGTCACAGGTATTAGAATGTAGTGTACTAGAGATGAGAGTATCTTTCATGATGCAGAGTGGTTCTAGGTCACTACCAACTGTGATGTGACATGCCCTTTTCAAAAATTCATGTAGGTAACAAAAACCTGCCAAGAACCCCAACCTGTTGGTTAGATATAGAATATTTCTACCCATTCAAGCATGACTTGAATTTCCTAGCAATGCAGTACTGGGAAAATCAAAGGAACACTTCACTGCTTACAGCCTGCATATACCCAAAGAGAGTCATTTTGCCACTTCGGAAAACTAGATAGGAACAGCCACGCTGCTCATGGCCTTGGAGGGGAGCAGTCAGAATGATTGGCTGTGGACTCTCAGTGGCTATAATAAGCATAGATGCAGGCTTTATGCAACTTCAGAATGTTTCCTGGGGTAGTTGAACCCAATCACTTATTTGTAGAAGTGCATCTTTGTTCATATCCTACTATGTTCCCTATGCTTTATGTCCCTTCTAGACTGCACATGATTCAGGATTCCCAAATTCTATCTGTACATAGTCAGATAGTAAACACATTAGGCTTTGCAAGCCACATACCCTGACAGTTCTCCTTCTTCAAAATTTTTAAAGCCAACTTTGAACAAGTAAAAACTACTGTCAGCTATAAGCTTATAAACAGGTGCTTATAAGGTGTCCAGATTCGGTGTGCAGGCCATTGAGTAATATAGTAATGGTTTGGGTTGGCGTAGGTAGCAATTGTGCTACTTACAGATTTCCTTTAAGGATAGTAAAGAGGACATTACTCAGCATGTGTTCTAGAAGGGGTTGGGTCTGATAAGGGTGAGAACCACTGAGTCGTATGCTGATTCCAGCAGAAGAAGAAAATGAAAAGGACTGTTGGGAAATCTAGGGGCCAGGGACGGACACAGAGACAAAACATCAGGTCTAGTCCGAGCATCCTCGACGACTTCCTTTGGCCCAGGAACAAAGATCCCCCACTCTTTTCTCACCTGTGGCTCTGGTATCTCAAGTTCTCTCTGTAAGTCTTCTATCAGTGACACAACTCTTTCTCTATTCTCGGGGCAGTGTTCCCTCACCCAGGTCTCTATCTCCGTGGGCAAAATGGTTAGAAACTGCTCCAACACGAGCAACTCCAGGATCTGTTCCTTGGAACGCATCTTTGGCTTCAGCCATTGACAGCAAAGCTCCCAGAGTTTGTTGAAAGCTTCATGAGGACTGGCTGCTTCTCTATACTGGAATTGCCTGAAGCGCTGCCGGAACACTTCGCAATCAGTGTCATACTCTTGAAGCACAGAGCCCTGATTCAAGGAGGCCTGGATTGCACAACCCAGGGCCACAGCCATCGCCTGAGATCTCAGTTTACAAATTCTTTTTCTCTGTAATCCTTGTGGGAGTCACCTGCAGCTGAGGATAGGGAAAAACGGGAAATGAGAAATAGCAGAGTTTACAAAAGGCATTCTTAATGCCCTTCACTTACTTATTTTTACCACAGAACTATGAGCATTTTATAATCTTTCTGGTGCTTTTGAGAATCTCACAAAAGCCACAGACTTACTTCCTAGGGGAAAATATATGTATACTACCAATTTTGTATATAATTTCAAAGTTTTATAAAATCTCAAAGCTCATCCACAGGCCCTCTAGAATTATGATAACATGCAAGCAAAACATCCTACATCACGATTCGAGTTCAATTAAAAATTTAGTTTCTCACTCATACTAGCTAAATTCCAAATGCTAAATAGACATCATTTCTGGAAGTTCTATTGAAAGTAGTTGTTGTATTGCAATGGTTTAAGCTGCCACTTGGAATACCCACATTCTATATTGGAATGCTGGTTCAAGTCCTGGCTACTCTGCTTCTGATCCAGCTTTTTGCTAATGTGCCTGGGAAGACAGTGTACTTAGGTCCCTGTCACCTATGTGGGAGACCTGGATGGAATTCAACATTCCTGGCTTCGATCTGGCTCAGCTCTGGCTGTTGCCAGCATTTAGGAAGTGAACCATTGGATGCAAGACTAATCTCTTTCTGTTTACCTTCCTGTCCCTCTGTCATTCTGACTTTCAAATAAATAAATAACTCTTAAGAAAAGAAAGGTTTTTTTTTTTTTTTTGGACAGTTTGGTCCAGAATTCCATGGTTCCATATCTAAGAACCCAACTCTTAAATGAAACATCACAGGTCTGCTGGCATCTAACCCACTCCCAGTCTACTTCCAAGTGTCTTGTTCTTCTGAATATACATATATCTCAAAGAAATGCAGCAAGAATGCTAACAATACTTTTCAAATACTCTGAAAGTCCATCTAGTTTTAAGTGCTTTTCCTCTTTTCTCATTTGAAAGGCACACATATACATACATACATACACACATATAAAAGGGAGCTCCCATTCACTGGTTCACTCCCCAGATGCCCTCAACTGGCTAAGGCTGGGATCCAAGAACTCAATTCATATCTCCTGCATGGGTGGCATGGACTCAACCAGTTGAGCCATCACCCCTGCCTCCAATGGTCTGCATCAGCAGGAAGTTGGAGTTAGGACCCAGAGGTGGGTAATGAATCTAGGCACTGAGATATGGATGTGCATATTTTAACCATTAGGCCAAATATTTCCCTCTTTAAATATTCCTTAATAGCCTTCAATCAAGGCGATTTTAGGCATAGCCATGCTTTGCAAGGACAAAAAAGTCACCACACCTTCATTCTCCATACAAGGTTATGTGCAGTTCTGCCACTATCACTAAGATCCTCATGTTGCAATAGCATTCCAAGCGGCTTTCCTATGTTAAAAAAAATATACTGCAGCAGGCCAGGCCCTGAGAAATTTGCTCTTTACTCATAATGAAAGACACTTACGCTACCAGCCAGGCACTGTTCTAAGTAACCCAAGGTTATGAGCTGGGTGCTAGTATTATCCCTTGAATCCAGACAGGGGCCCTGAGGTTTGAGGCTTAGGGAGACTAAATAACTTATCCAAGGTCATATGGTCCATGCCAGAAGGAAACGATGACAAGGTTAGAACCAATAGTCTCCTACAGTTGAAATGTCTAAAAACATCAAAATGTTCTTAGTGCAGTCCACATCTACACAGGTCTGCACACCTATACTTGCTGGTGTGCAGTGGCTCCTCTCTCTGCATTTGGTACCTGTCCTCTTCCCTTAAGGTGATCACAGAGAAGACTCACTCTCTTCCCCACCCCCACCCCCCACTTTCTATTAACATGCACACTCTCCCCACATGGCCTGTCACCACGATGGGTACCCGACTTCAGAGGTAAATGAATTCAACTGCGATAATCTGCCAGCTGTGCACCCACAGACTCAGGGCCTCCGTCTGCAACGTGAGGAGAATCACGGCAGCTACTCCCTAAAATGTCCTGCTCCTATGCAACTGTATGGAGAGTGAGCAGCCACATGCCTGGCACACAGGAAGTGCTCAACTAACACTCACTGCTGCCCAGGATTCCTTCCTAGGAAGCTTCTCTTTCCTGAGCGCGACTCCTAACCGTCGCCAGACGACAGCCAGGAACTGCTGGTTTTGGCTGCGGACCCCACCCATTAATCTCCTGCAGCCTCACAGCTGACCAGCCCTCCCTCAACTGACCCAAAACCTCCCCCCACGCCTGCCGGGAAGGACCCTTCGCGTTTCTTTCCATGAGCCCTTCCCAACGAAAAGTTCACTTTACTGCAAGGCTAGTGGTTTCTCCCCCAAACCATCGTTTAGCGAACCCGCCGCCCTCACAGGCCCTCTGAGTAAAGCCATGTGTGGAAAGAGGGTACTTGGGGAACAGCAGGAGTGACACGTCCCTGAAAAATCTGAAAGCTGGTTTAAAATTGGCCGCCGTTGTCGCGGTCCCCGAGTGGCCCTGAGCTATGACGACCCGCCACCCCGAGGGGCGCTCCCAGTCTCAGAAGACTCCCAGGAAGGCCTGGCCGGGTCGCAAGGAGCGACGGCGGAGACCCTGACCGGATGGGGCCCGTAGCCCCTGGCTCCTCCCGGCGCCCACCGCTCGGGGCACAGCTGGAATCCACCAGCTTGCAAAGCTCGGGCCGGCGAAGGGAGCCCCGCTACCCGCGCCCGCGCCCCAGGGACGGCCACGCCCTCTGGCCGCTCCGGGACTCACCGCCTCAGCGCCCACGGTTCTCCCAAGCTCACCCGCAACTGCACAAGGCGCAGGCGCGCGACCGCGTTGCGGACTACAACTCCCAGCAGGTCTCACGTCGCCCGCCGCGTTCTGGGCGCACAAGGATGCTGACGCGAGAGGGGCTGAGAGTCTCTCTGGCTTCGGCCGATTTCAAGCTGTTTTGGAAAAGCTCCCGCTTCCGGTCTAATCACTTCTTGGTCCCCAGAGCCTGGGCTAATGAACCAAGTGAGGACTTCTTCCCGATCAGCCTTAGAATAACTGGAGCGGCTGGGAAACCTCCGTTAATTATATTATGGCCCGGTCAGTGATTCTCAACCCTGTCTGGGGAGACTTTCATGTGACAGCGTGTTAAACATTCAGATTTCTTGGTCCTACGTGACACTCTGACGCGCTGGATCTCACACAAATACAGGAATTCGCATTTTATTTATGTTATTTTTAATTAAAATGCAATTATTCAATAAATGTTTGCTCCACATGGTACTAATGTTGCAAACATTAAACAAGAAGAAGTGATAGAATAGGTAATTTTCTACTTAATCATATATATTTGAGAGAACATTTTTAATTTACGGTATACTCAAAGGTTTAATGCTCTACTAAATAAAGAGTTCAACAAGGAAAAAAATGAAAAAGACCATAGTTCAACAGGAATATAGGAAAGGCCTATAAACAATAATGATCTCAATTTCATTCCTATACACGTAATTTTAAAATAATCACAGATCATTACAACTATAGTAGTACATCATTCTTAACAATTTGTTTGGCAAAGATATAAAAGTTCGATAAACCTTTTTGCAGCAGTATTGATACATGCAAGCATTTCTGTTTTAATTTTTAAAAAAATTTATTCCCACATGTAAGGGAGAATATGTTGTATTTGTCTTTCTGTATCTGGCTTATTACACTCAACATGATGTCCTCCAGTTGCAATCATTCTGATGCAAATGATAGAATTTCATTTTTACAGCTGAATAATATTACATTGTGTATGTGTGTGTGTGTGTATATATATATATATATATAATCCGTTTTCTTTATCCATTCATCTGATGGTGGACACCTTAGTTGATTCCATATTTTGGCTATTGTGAATGGTGCTGCTATAAACATGATGGTGCCAGGATCTCTTTGTTACAACGTGTTCATGTCTTTTGGTATATACCCAGTAATGGGACTGCCGGATCATATGCCAGGTCTATTTCTAGTTTTTAAAGAAATTTCCATACTGTTTTCCACAGTGACTAAACTGATTTGCATTCCCACCAACAATGTATAAATAAATGTTCCCCTTTCTCCACATCATTGCCAGCATTTGTTACTGTCTTTTGGATAATAGCCTTTCTGACAGTGCTGAGATGATCTCTTGTTGTGGTTTTGATTTGCATTCCTTGATGGATAGTGATGTTGAGCATTTTCTCATATATTCGTTGGCCATTTGTGTTTCTTCTTTTGAGAACTGTATATTGAGGTCTTTTGCTTATTTCTTTTTTTAAAGACTTTTATTTAATAAATATAAATTTTGAAAGTACAACTTTTGGATTATAGCGGTTCTTTCCCCCATAACCACCCTCCCACCCGCAACCATCCCATCTCCTACTCCCCTCCCATGTCATTCTTCATTAAGATTAATTTTTAATTATCTTTATATATAGAAAATCAACTTAGTATATACTAAGTAAAGATTCCAACAGATTGTACCCACACAGACACACAAAGTATACAGTACTGTTTGAAGACAAGTTTTACCATTAATTCTCATAGTACAACACATTAAGGACAGAGATCCTACATGGGGAACAAGGGCACAGTGACTCCTGTTGTTGATTTAACAATTGACACTCCTATTTATGACGTCAGTAATCACCTGAGGCTCTTGTCATCTTTGCTCATTTCTTAACTGGAATGTTTTTGTTGTTGAGGTTTTGAGTTGCTGATGTATTTTGGATAGTAATCCTCTGTCAGATTAAGTAGCTTGAAAATATTTTCCTTCATTTTATCAGCTGTCTCTTCACTCTGTTTGTTTCTTTTGATGTGCAGAAGCTTCAGGTTTTGATATAATCCCATTTGGGTAGTTTTGCTTTTGTTGCCTTTATTTTGGGGGGTCTTATCCAAGAAGTTGTTACCTACACCAATGTCTTGAAGTGTTTCCCCTACATTTTCTTCCAGCAACTTCATAGTCTCAGGCTTAAATTTAGGTTGTTGATTCATCTTGATTTAAATTTGTATATGGTGAGAGATAGGGATCTAATTCCATGCTTCTACATCTAGTTTTGCCAACAGCATTTATTGAACAGTTCATCCTTACTTTTGTCAAAAATCAGTTGGCTGTATGTAAGAGTATTAATTTCTGGGTTCTCTATTCTTCCCATTGATCGATGTGTCACTTTTTATGCTGGTACTGTGCTGTTTTAATTACTTTTTCTTGAAAAATATTTATTATTTATTTATTTTGAAAGTCAGAGTTACAGAAATAGATTTTCTTTTTTTTAAGATTATTTATTTGAAAGAGTTACAAAGAGAGAGAGGGAGGGAGAGAGAGAGAGAAATCTTCTATCCGCTGGTTCACTCCCCAGATGACCACAACAGCTGGAGCTATACCGATCCCAAGCCAGGAGCTAGGAGCTTCTTCCGGGTCTCCCACATGGGTGCAGGGGCCTAAGGACTTGGGCCATTTCTACTGCTTTCCCAGGCCATAGCAGAGAGCTGGATTGGAAGTGGAGCAGCCGGGACTTGACGCCCATATATGGGATACCAGCACTGCAGGCAGCGGCTTTACCCACTATGCCACAGCGCCGGCCCCACAGAAATAGATTTTCCATTCACTGGTTTATTCCCCAGATGGCTGCAACATCCAGTGCCTGGCCAGGCCAAAGCCAGGAGCCAGGAGCCAGGAGTTTAATGTGGATCTCCCACATGGGAGGCAGGGATCCAAACACTTGGGCCATCTTCCACTGCTTCCCCTAGGCCATTAGCAGGGAGCTGGATCGGAAGTGGAGCAGCTGGGACCTGAACATGTTCCCATATGTGATGCTGGCATTGCAGGCAGCAACTTTACGTGCTATGACACAATGCCAGCCCCTAATTACTTAGTTTTATAGCATGCTTTGAAGTCAGCCTCCAGCATGATTTTTCCCCTAAGCATTGCTTTGGCTCTTCTGAGTCTTGTGATTTCATATGAATTTTGGGATTTTTTAAAAAATATTTTTACTTATTTGAAAGGCAGAGTTACAGAGAGAGAGAGAAGAGAAGAGAGAAAAGAGAGCTAAAGAGAGATCTTCCATCTGCTGGTTCACTCCCCAAATAACTGCAATGGATGGGGCTGGGCTGGGCCAGGCTGAAGCCAGGAGCCTGGAACTCCTGGTCTCCAATTATAGGTGTCAGGGGCCCAAGCACTTGTGACATCTTCTGCTGCTTTTCCAGATGCATTAGCAGGGAGCTGAATTGTAAGTGGAATGGCCAGGATTTCAACAGAGATGCTGGCATCACAGGCAGCAGCTTAAGCTACTGTGACACAATGCTTACCCCAGGATTTTTTTTCTAATTCTGTAAAGAATGTCATTGGTATTTGGATAGAGATTGTATTGAGTCTGTAGATTATTTAGGTATTATGGACTTTTAATTATATTAATTCTTCCAATCCATGAGAAAGGAATATCTTTCTATTTGTTTGTGTCCTTGATAATTTCATTCATCAGTGTTTTATAATTTTCAGAGATCTTTCACTTCTTCAGTTAAGTTTATTGCTAAATATTTGATTTTTTTGTGGCTACTGTGAATGCGATTTATTTTCTGATTTCTCTTTCAGTGAGTTCATCATTAGTGTATAGAAAAGCTGTTTTTGCATGTTTATTTTGTATCCAGTAACTTTACTGAATTAGTTCATTCTACCATTTTTTTGGTGAAGTATTTACATTTTTCCATATGCAGGAATCTGCATTTTAATAAGATTTCTTAAGGCTTCTGACTTTAGTCATCTGCCCATGGGACACAGTCACCTTGCTGTCTTGAAGACTTGAGCTTTAGTCTAATGACCCGGCCCATACCTCTGCACCTTCTCCAGCTACCAGAGATTTCTTGTGTGTTAAGGATATCTCATTGGCCCTACCTCTTTTCTTCCAATTGCCCCCTTGCTTGTTCTTCCCCTAGGTGAAAATTTTCCCTTCTGGTTCTGTGGCTGAGTTGTGGCAAGTCGTCTTCTGATAGCCGCTGTACAATGGTGTGTCATTCAGGGAAGGTAATGCTCATGTCGGTCTCAAGCTGGCACTGTTTTTCTGTGGATGTCAAACTTTAGTGCTATGAGAGTGTTGGAGCTAGGACCAAGTCCTGTGTGAGTCCAGTACAGAAAGGGGAAAGCTGCCTGTTCTTGTGCCTCTGGGTGGCCCTGGTGGAAGTGAGATGAGGACAGATGCTGCAATGACTCAGACCCACGAGGTCAAGGCAGTGGAGACAGCTCTGCCCAGGCTGAAGCTGGGCTTATCAACTGGGACTTGGAGACCCAGGTACTCTGATTCCTGCTGAAGCTGTCATTTTTCTTACTGGCACCAAGGTGCCTTTGCTGACAGGTGCAGCTGGTTTCAGGCCCAAAGTGATCTGGGAATCTGATAGCAGCATCTGGCCTGGGCTCCCCGGGGAAAGAACTCCTGTGATAGTGCAACTTTGACAGTTGGATGGACTAATAGGCAGTTAGGTCAGTCTGGGGCAGAATGAGGAAAGGAGAAATCTCTTTAAGAGGGTACAAAAAGAGCCGGCGCCGCGGCTCACTAGGCTAATCCTCCGCCTTGCGGCGCCGGCACACCGGGTTCTAATCCAGGTCGGGGCGCCAGATTCTGTCCCGGTTGCCCCTCTTCCAGGCCAGCTCTCTGCTGTGGCCAGGGAGTGCAGTGGAGGATGGCCCAAGTGCTTGGGCCCTGCACCCCATGGGAGACCAGGAGAAGCACCTGGCTCCTGCCATCGGATCAGTGCGGTGCACCGGCCGTGGCGGCCATTGGAGGGTGAACCAACGGCAAAAGGAAGACCTTTCTCTCTGTCTCTCTCTCTCTTCTCCAC